TTAAGGCAATGCTAACTAATCATCTGGGTCTATAAAGGGAAACATCACAAATACGCTTCGCCTTCGTAATTTATTTTAAAGACGCATGTACACACACGTGATGAAGTCACAAAGCACGTTATGATAATGAAAAACAACTTAATGTCGCTCCTGATTGGCCACTGAGAGTGTTGACAAGAAATGTCGCTATTGTAGATCCCATTATAAATAGAAGGAATATTTTGTTTGCTTCATTGAATGCTGAATCCTTAGTCAGCAGAGTAAAGTCCTACTACATTTCTAAGGCATATTGCAAACTCTACTACAGAAAGTTTGAATAACCTGAAATTAGCCACCATGCGTACTTCACTTCTGCCTGTTATCGCAAAGAGGCTCATTTTCTTCGGGTCGGCTCAGGTCGGCAAGTCGGCAATCATCAGGCGCTTTGTCAGTCAGACTTTCTCAGAGCAATACAACCCAACCATTGAAGATATGTTTGAGAGGCCCATCGATTACGATGGCAAAGAAGTTAAACTTCAAATTCTTGATACCAGTGGCAGCTTTAACTTTCCTGCGATGCATCAACTGGCCCTCAACAACGGTGATATATTCGTCGTCGTATATTCAACTGACGACATCTTGTCCTACCACGAAGCCCTTGCAACCTGCGACGAGATAGCGGAAAAGAGAGGCCCCGGAATGCCCATCGTCGTCGTGGCAAACAAGAACGATCTGGGAAATAGACAAGTTGGAAAGGCTGAGGCAGAACTTATGTTTTGTCAATGGAACACATATCACGTAGAAAGCTCGGCCAAAGAAGAGAACTCAATCGCAGAAATCTTTACGAGATGCCTGTCCTTACTATGTCCCGCTGATCAGGCCGAGGATGTCACTTCACCAAACAATTCATCACAAATCCTTGAACGGAAAAAAAGTCTAAAAAGGTCTCTTTCAACACAGCTTCAATCAACGATTCGCAGTCTCACAGGAAAGATGGCATGGGCTTCTCATTTCACAAGATGATCGCTTATGAGTGACTTAATTGAATCAGAGATGCAGAAAAGCGAAAACTGGGACATTGCCAATGATTTGGCGTCAGACTGTGCGAGCTGTGTTAATTTTTTAGACTTCTGTTATCTTTTTTATTATACCAAGATGCTATTCAAATAATTTCTTATTTAACATATTGTATACATATCTGAAATAAAAGATTCTTTCACAAAAATGTAAAATCAACAATGTTTTTAGCTTACTTGCTTGTCTCTGTAGTGTTTTACATCGAGAAAGGAAGAGAGTGTTGATTGCATGATATCCGAATGTTATTCGGAACGTATTCTTTTTTTATTCTTGTGATATTGTCAATGAAAAGATGATTGTTTGTTTGTGTGTTGGTATTGTCCATGTGTGGAGAAATCTTTCCCTGATAATAGTAAGTGTGTATATACTAGATATGAGCATGTAGGCCTATACACGTGAAGCCAAATTAATTCTGCAATTAAACCATAATTCTAATACCGGTCACGTGCTCTTATAATGTCACATTTGAAGGTGTGGTCTTTACGTGGGACGTAGGTGTGGCTGTGACGTGTTATACTTATCTTTTTTGTTTAATATCAAGCTTGAAAATATCTCGCAACTGATATGAGATTAATATCATCAGCATCAGCATCAACATCACCATCCCGTGACTCCCCCAGGCGCGTACGCAGGGGGGGGGGGGGGTTATCCCCCCTTTGGTATTTTCTATGTGTGTATTTTGGAGGGACCCCCCCCCCCCTTTGGTATTTTTTTTAATTTTTTATTAAAAAAAAAAAAAAAAAATTTAATTAAAAAAACCTTCCCCCCCCAACGGAACAAAATGTCAATTTTTCAAATTTTGAGACCAAAAAAAAAGAAAAAAAGTGGTCTCTTACCCCCCCCCCCCCGCTTTTTCAGCTGCTGGCTGAGTTGTTTTTTTTTCGGCCCGATTTAAAAATGTTAACCCCCCCCCCCCCCCTTGAAAAAAATCCTGCGTACGCCACTGGACTCCCCTAGTGGGGTTCGGGTCTCCTCGTTACCGCCCTATAGCCATTCAAAGTCAATTTCTCTACCGTCTTCTTTACTGTCCATACCATCTCAGGCTGCTTTCTCTAATTTTCTCCCTTATCCCTGTCACTTTTACTTCCTTTCGTATACCTCATCATTTCGCCTCCTTTCTTTTCTTGTTCCTCCTCTTATAATTTGAAATCAGGATCCACGTGATCTTCCTTTACTGTCCATGTCTCTCCTCCATAATAATATAACCAGGCGAGATATGAGATAATATGAGACATTGTTTTTAAAAGATTATTTTGACATTGAAAATATCAACCTTACAACCTAGCTCTCACTCACAGACCTACATAATTTAAAGTTTTATGGTAATAATAATGTACTACGAAAGGGAATTTAGACTGCTGTGATTATTTCCATAAATACAACTTTTAAAGAAGATTGGAGAATTTCACAGCTCGCGCTCTTTCTCTTTCTCTCTCTCTCTCTCTCTCTCTTTCTTTCTCTTCTCTCTCTCTTTTTTCTCCTCTCTCTTTCTCTCTCTTTTCCCCTCTCACTCTCCCTCTTTTATCTCTCTTTTTCTCTATCTCCATCTCTCCCTCTATAAACCTAATTATCTATATTCGGTGGCGATAAGGTTCTTCCACATTCCTCTGTCTCTGGCATCAGCACCACTCCCTGATCTTCCTATATCTTCTAACTAATTCTGCAGACTGTCCATTCAGATTATTAATATCCTTCTTCTACACCTCAATCGTTCATTTCAGTGCATGATTCTCAAATCATCCTTTATATGAACTAAGGTCGATCCTCATGTTACATCTCACAATATATTTAAGAAATTGCGAAACCAAGGCCAACTTTTTATCCGCAATAATTTCAGTTTATAATCAGTGGCATAGCATGGGTTCAGTTAGTGAGTGGGTGATGGTCTTACCAAGTGGATGAAATGCGAGGGAGCGTAACGATCAAGCGATCTCTCTTGCCTCTCTCACTCTCTCTCTCTCTCTCCGTCTGTGTGTGTGTGTGTGTGTCTCTCTCTCTCTTTCTCTCTCTCTCTCATTCACTGTCTCTCTCTCTCTCTCTCTCTCTCTTTCTCTCTCTCTCTGTCTCTCTCTCTCACTCTCTCTGTCTTTCTTAGGAATGATCCTGCCAGGGCCTGTCATCTGACAAAATTAATGGAGAGGGGAATACAGTTTATGAGCCAAAGAAAGTTGTTGGTTTGTTGTAGTTGCGCCCCCCCCCCCCCGCCTCCGATATTTAATGCAGATTATACTGCTGCTGGGGGGGGGGAGAGAAAAATAGAAAGATAGACATAGAAAAAAAAGATGAAAGACGATAGATCGACGCTCTCCCTGCAGATTCTCCCCGCTTGGTAGCTCCGCTCTTTTTGCCATTTTCCACGACATGCACACGTACATGTATAGTCACTACCTAAGTAATAATAATAATGAACCCTTCTCCGCCTCAGCGTATCAATGAGAATGATGAAAGACAAGTTGGCATTGATTTTTGCACATTTCTAAAGATATGACATTTTCCATATAATTATGTCAAGACGCAAACAAGCAGTATACTTTTCTTTCGTTATAATGGAGGCCTCCAAGTTAAATGGAGCTCTTGTTATGATTCGTATATAATTGAAAAATGGGCTTCATCTATATAACATCGCGTGAACCAGCTTTATGTGTGGTTTCTATACACCGACTTCATTTAAATTGACCTTATAGCTCCTCAAACTCATCAGAATTCACTTCTATTTATAATCATGGATGGACGTTTATAGTCTATTTTTATTTATTCCAAAACAATGCAAATCATTCTTAGAAATACAGTTGTTTTTCATCTTGACATGATTCAATTCTTTTTCAATACATAGATTGTACGATTGACAAAAATGAAATCACTTGTAACATCATTAAATAACCTCATCCAACCAAACATCCAACTATCCCACCGTGCGACACACGCAACACACACAGAAACATACACACACACGCACAAACACACGCTCACACACACACACACACACATCACCCGACCACACTTCCACACAAATACCACACACTGTTCCTAGCCTCCTCAGAATATACTCAAAATCGGAGCGACGGAATAATATTAATTATTATTTTAAAAAAGAATAAATAATTCAAACGAGGCTAAAATAACTCAGTGTTAAAAGTTCATGAAAACTTCAGTGTTCCCACTTCTGTAAATGTAAGGCTAATTTACCTGCCCTCTCTGAAATATTCTTTTCTTCTTTCCTAAATTCCAACAGTTCTTTTTAAATATCACCCAAAGTCAATATTACGGACTTTCCGCTGCATCTATATAACCCCCTCAATTTTTTTTGTGTTTTGGAGAACCCCCCCCCCCTCCCTATTTTCTTTTTAAATTAAAAAAGAACAACAACGAAATGTCGATCGGTCAATTCTCTAATTTCGGGACAAAAAAAAGTGCTCTTCTCATTAACGCAATTGATCCATAAACCCACCAAGATTACATGGACCTCTTCTAAAATAATGTTTAGATCACATTCTTACTGTACCAGATAAGCATGCACTAAGGAACGTATACCAAAGATATCCTTAAGTGACTATTAATTTATATACACATGTCTCAATGTCAACAATACGTCTAAGAATATTACGTACTATGGGCCGCATATTAGATCTCGCAATATCATACTTAATTTATACCAAACATTCAGACAGTGGACAAGGCAGATGATCGCGACGGGACGCATGCGCAAAACTTCACATCATAAAGTAGCAGTCCTTCCGTTGCCAACTAAAGCCTACATTCTAATGCCAAATAGTGCACCAATGAAATAATAAAAGTAGGGTTTCACTGGTTTCCTATTGGTGTTCGAAGAATAGAACCCTACAATTTTCTTCGCATCAATCTTGGTCAGACTTGTATAAAAGGAGAGGTATTGCGATGATGAGATTAATTTCTTTTAATAAAGGAAGGTGCCAGAGCTCTCAGATTTCAAGAGGCCTACATTCTATAGCCAGTGCTCTATAATTTCCACCTTACTTACTTATTTTTACTCAGCTATCGCTATGCCATCTAAATCATCATCAGTTATGGCAAAGAGACTTGTTTTCTTCGGAGCGGCTCAGGTCGGCAAGTCGGCAATCATCAGACGCTTTGTCAGTCAGACTTTCTCAGAGCAATACAACCAAACCATTGAAGATATGTTTGAGAGGCCCATCGATTACGATGGCAAAGAAGTTAAACTTCAAATTCTTGATACCAGTGGCAGCTTTAACTTTCCTGCGATGCATCAACTGGCCCTCAACAACGGTGATATATTCGTCGTCGTATATTCAACTGACGACATCTTGTCCTACCACGAAGCCCTTGCAACCTGCGACGAGATAGCGGAAAAGAGAGGCCCCGGAATGCCCATCGTCGTCGTGGCAAACAAGAACGATCTGGAAAATAGACAAGTTGGAAAGGCTGAGGCAGAACTTATGTTTTGTCAATGGAACACATATCACGTAGAAAGCTCGGCCAAAGAAGAGAACTCGATCGCAGAAATCTTTACGAGATGCCTGTCCTTACTATGTCCCGCTGATGTCACTTCACCCAAAGATTCATCACAGGTCTTTGAACGTAAACGAAGTTTCAGAAGGGCTCTTTCGACACAGCTTCAATCAACAATTCACCTTGTCGCATCAAAGATGACCCGGGTATCAAAATCTCGCAGAGGATGACTGCCTATAATATGGACAAGAAATGAATCAGAGATGCAAATACAACATAAACTGTTAATGAGAGGGACATTTTCCAATGAATTGGCGTCAGACCGTGCGTGCCGTGTTAATTTTTTAGACTTCAATTACCTTTTTTTAATACCAAAATGCTATTCAAATAATTTCAAATTGTATACATTATCTGAAATAAAAATTCTTTCATAACAATGTACAATCAACAATGTTTTAGCTTACTTGCTTGTCTCTGCAATGTCTTGGTTAAATTGTATCGAGAAAGAGAGAGAGTTTGTGTTGATTGCATGATGTCCGAATGTTATTCGGAACTTATTCCCTTTCGATTCTTGTGATGTTGTCAACGAAAACATGTTTGTTTGTTGGTATTGCCAATGTGTGAAGAAATCTTCCCCTGATAATAGTAAATGTCAGTGTGTGTATTAATGAGTATGTATACACGTGAAGCCAAATTAATTCGGCAATTAAACCATAATTATAATTCTAATACCAGTCATCTGCTGTTATAATGTCACAGGTGAATTTGTGTTCTTTACGTGGGATGTGAGTGTGAGTGTGAGATGTATTATAATTATATATTTATATATATTTCTTTTAAATATATTAAGCTTGAAAAAGTCACGCAAGGAATATGAGATCAATATCATCACCATCACCATCACCATCCCGTGGGTCCCTTCCAGCTGAGGGATCGGATCTCCTCGTTACCACATCTCCTTCTCGTCCTGTCTATAGGCATTCAAAGTCAATTTCTCTACCGTCTTCTTTCATACGATCTATCCACCTTTTCCTGGGTCTTCTTCTCTTTCTCCTTCTTTTTTGTTCTTTTCTCTCTGCTGCCCATAATTGTAATCAATTCATATTTATATTTCCTTTTCACGTGTCCATACCATCTCAGTCTGCTTTCTCTAATTTTCTCCCTTATCACTGTCACTTTCACTTCGTTTCGTATATCTCATCATTTCGCCTCCTTCCTTTTCTTGTTTTCCTCTTACACCAATCATAAATCAGCTTCTTCGCATGGTCTTCCTTTACTGCCCAGGTGTCTCCTCCAAAATATAACCGGGCAAGATATGAGATCATGTGAGATTTTGTTTTTAAAAGATCTGACACTGAAAACATAAAACTTACAACCAGGGGCGGATCCAGAGGCCCCCCTCTCCCGTTAAGCCTCAAAACAGAAACAAAAGCGCTCACTACCACTACCTCCCTCCCCCTCTCTCTGCTTTTTCGGCCGGTCGGCTGAGTCGCCGCTAAATATTTTCTAACGAATTGGGCCCCTCCCTCGCCGCCGGCCGGATCCGCCCCTGATTACAACCTAGCTCTCATTTTTTGTTTTCACAAACGCCACTTTTGAAGAAGTTCTTCTCCCTCACTCTCTCTCTCTCTCTCTCTCTCTCTCTCCCTCTTTCCCCTCTCTCTTTCTCTCTTTCTTTTCTCCCTCTCGCTCTCTCTTTTTATTTCTTTCTTTTTCTCTATCTCCATAGTCAGTGGCGATAAGGTTTTTCCACATTCATCCGCATCAGCACCACTCCCTGATCTTCCTATATCTTCTAACTAATTCTGCAGACTGTCCATTCAGATTATTCTTATCCTTCTTATACACCTCAATCGTTCATTTCAGTGCACGATTCTCCAGGCGCGGATCCAGGATTTCTTAGGGGGGGGGGGGGGCAATTTGGAATCAATCTGAAATTAAGTGTGCTAAAATTTCAAAATCGTGCCGGCCAATATTTCGCTCAGTGGGGGGGGGGGGGGGGGGGGCATCTCCTAAAAAAGTTAAAATTAACGTGTTTTTACACGTTTTTTCCCCATGGGGGGGGGGGGGGCGGGCCCCGGGTTCCTCCCCCTGGATCCGCCACTGTAATGATCAAGCGATCTCTCTCTCTCTCTCTCTCTACATTAATCAAACTCAGAAACCTGCACCGTACCCAACCCAACACCAAGGACAAACCCAGCTCAAAACCCAACGACAAATGCAACCCCAAACCCACATCCCTGATGAACTTAATCCTGGAGCATGACTTTGTGTCGGGTCGCCATCGTTACACATTATGGCAGATTGGTTGGTACATAATATACAAAAATCTAAATATTATTACCATATTTGCAATAAAATTATATATTGAACTTATACACTATATAAATATAAATAAATTTGTTTGAAATTTGAACAATTTTATTGTTATGCAGGCACGGATCCAGGGGGGGGGGGGGCACAGAGGGCACGTGCCCCTCGGCCAAAAATATGTTAAAATCAGCCCTAAATTCGCCAAAAATGCACTGAAAAACAGGGATGTGCCCCCCCCCGGCCCCCCCAAAAAAAAATTATAAAAAAATAAATAAATAACAATTAAAAAAATATATATATATACTATTGGCTTACCTAAAAAGATGACCTAACCCCCGCCCTCAACGGAGCAAAATGTCAAATTTACAAATTTACCCCCCCCCCCCCCCAGCTTATTCAGCGGCTGGCTGAGTCGTTGCGATTTTTTGGGGGACTAAAATAAAAATATATATATGTTCTCGTACCCCCTGTGTGCCCCCCCCCCCCCCCCATGTGCCCCTCGGGAAGAAATTCCTGGATCCGCCCATAGTTATGGTTGAAAAATGCATAGCCAGATGGGTAGTGTATTTCCTTCAATAACAGAAACAGGGACAACAACAGAAACCAAATCCAGGAATTACACATTTGAATCAAAATAATAGATGCTACAATTAATTAAACAAATTGTAGGTAAAATGCCGAAAATTTTGTCTTTGGACCAATTAAGTAAAAGTACTATATAAAAATGATCGCATAAAAACATGTGTGAAAGGTTGCCATGGCAATAACAAGGATCGTATAAAAACATGTGTGAAAGGTTGCCATGGTAATGATAATCGATATACAAAATGTGCATCCTCGGGGGGGGGGGGGGGTAATTGTCCTCGGGGGATAATTTTTCGGGGGTAATTGTCCTTGGGGGTAGTTTTCCGGGGGTAGTTTTCCGGGGGTACTTTTACGGGGGTAATTGTCCATGGGGTAATTGTCCTCGGAAGGGGGGGGGCGGTAATTGTCTTCGGGGTGTATTGTCCTCGGGAGGGGGATTCTCAAGGGGGTAATTGTCCTTGGGGGTAGTTTTACGGGGGTAGTTTTCCGGTGGGTAATTTTCCGGGGAGTTTTGTCCATGGTGGCCCAAAACGTAACCTCCGAGCTTTGAGCTCTCAGCAGACGTTTTCTTCTTTTCTTCAAAATGATATTCTCACGTGAATAACAAAACAAGTACACATCACGTTTTCATCGAAACGATTATCACATTGCCCCCAGAGATTCTATGCAAGGTTATCCATAGATTAACTGCATGTGACATTACATCGCGGGAACCAACTTAATGTATGGTTTCGAGCTTTGAGCTCTCAGCAGACGTTTTCTTCTTTTCTTCAAACATGATATTCACACGTGAATAACAAAACAAGTACACATCACGTTTTCATCGAAACGATTATCACATTGCCCCCAGAGATTCTATGCAAGGTTATCCATAGATTAACTGCATGTGACATAACATCGCGGGAACCAACTTTATGTATGGTTTCTATAAATGCATAAACCGACTTAATTTAAAACGCTCTTATTACCTCCTCAAAGTCATCAGAACATTAATTGTCCAAGGGGGTAATAGTCCAGGGGGTAATTGTCCTCGAGGGGTAATTTTCCGGCGGGTAATTTTCCGGCGGGTAATTTTCCGGGGGTAATTGTCCTTGGGGTAGCTTTCCGGGGGTAATTTTCTGGGGAGATATCCCAGGGGGTAATTTTTCTAGAACCCTCTTGTTTACATTATGACTGTTCCCGGTGGTCACGTACGGCAGCCTCGTTTGCCCGCAACCTAGTGTGCCGTGAGATTTTGGCAATTTTTTTTGTATTCAAGCCCCTGTCTAATTTCCTGGTATTTTTGTATTACGTACCGTCACGTTTTGTTGCATTCACCACGTTTTACTATGGCCCACTAGGTTTCTCATCCGCACCACGACTGTCCTGGCATATCTGTTTACATTTTTAAAAGCAGGCCCGGCATTCACGGCAATCACGGCCTGTCACGTTTGCCCATTCCGCCCCCCCCCCCCTGCGTTGTCTCACGTCCATCCCGTTTTGTCCACGGTGGCCCGAAACGTGATAGCCGTGGCCGCCGAGCTTTGAGCTCTCAGCAGACATTTTTTCTTCTTCTTTTCTTCAAACATGATATCCTCACGTGAATAACAAAACAACAACCCTCACGTTTTCATCAAAACGATTATCAAATTACACCCAGAGATTACACGCAATTAAGGTTATCCATAAGTTTACTGCATGTGACATAACATCGCGTGAACCAGCTTTATGTATGGTTTCTATACATGCATATACCGACTTAGTTTAAAACGCCCTTACTACCTCTTCCAACTCATCAGAACAGTAATTGTCTATAGGGGTAATAATCCTGGGGGGGGGGGGGTAATTTTCTTGGGGGTAATTGGCCTTGGAGTAGAACCGTAGTGTGCCTTGGAGCCTCCAGGACAGCATCCCCTTTACCTCCCACATCCCGTCACGGAAACCGTGATAGACCGTACAAAAACTTGACAGGACGTAACAAAACTGAATACAGAGAAGAAAATGGCCAAAATCCCACGGCGCACTACGTTTCGGGCAAACGGGGCTGCCGTGGCCGCCGGGAACACAGTGTAAACGTAGCATTCCTGGCGGCCACGGCAACCACGTTTCAGGCCACCGTGGACGAAACGGGATGGACGTGAGACAACGCGGGGGACCGTATGGGCAAACGTGACAGGCCGGGATTGCCGTGGATGCCGGGCCAGATTTTTAAACTGTAAACAAAATTGCCACGGCACTCACGGTCCAATGAGAAACATAGTAGGCCGTAGTAAAAGGGGGTGAACGCAACAAAACGTGACAGTACGTAATAGGCCATAACAAAACTTGGAGGCGGTCCGTAGTGGGACGGGAACTCTGTGTATTCCCCAGCATCTCACGGTTCTTTCAAGTTTTGTCATGTTCAGCCGCGTTTAGTGCACGTTTAGTCACGGTTGATTCACGGCTGCTGCGCGTTTTGTTCCGTTTTACCAAGCTTTGAGGAAAGAAGGCCAAGCTATGCCACCGAAGAAGCTAAGAGGTACGAAGCCCCCCCCCCCTTCCCAGTCCTGCACCACCACCAGTAGAGGGTTAGGCCAAACAAAAATTTGTTTTGGTTGTCCTCGATTGCTTTTCTGGACTAGGGCGGGCGGGCGGGCGGATTATTATTATATCTTTTTTTTAAACTTCATTTTTTGTGTGTCTTTTTTTGATTTTTTTTTCCCCCCATTTTTTTTTTTTAATAATTGTTTTTCCATGAAAAAAAAAATCATTGGGATGTCAAGCATTTAAACAAACAAAGTCTATAAAACACTTTGATATGGTAAAAGACTAGTTTAATGTACAATGAATATCAAGACCAACATAGAAAGTATTTATGGCTTTGAAATACAGCACCTTTTAAAACTACTTATAGCTACTTGCGCCCTCTAATCGGTGACCATTGCTCCCCCATGATCCTCTTTTTTAACCGAGAGCTGACTTTATGAGATAACCACCTGTCCAGTAAACCTGCAGGGTGGTCTAATCCCTCCTGTAAACTAGTACAGATGGCCTTTTAATTTGAGTTTAAGAATGCTCAGAACCTGATTTGAATGAACGGCATTTTGACGTAGAAAAATAAAAATGGCAAGTTTAATAAATACAGAATTGCGTACTGAAAAGACTAAACTGGCAACAGGACTCATTTTGATCCTTGCAAATGCATAAAATGGTATGTTTGGCATTTAAGAATTGCTCTCCTCAAAAAAATTAGATTAAAAAAAAAATGTAACATGGAAGAGTTTTGGTGATGCAGATTTTTCTTCTACCCCCCCCCCATCCCAAACTGCTTCCGGTGCGCCTGATTCAGGTAGTATTTCACTTTTACACATATAAACTCAGAAGATTTGGGGTTAACCCCCCCCCCCCCTTTAACTTTTGTTTGTGTATGTTTTTGAGGAAAACCCCCACCCCCTTTTTTTTTTAATGAGAAAAAATTATAATGAAACAAATTGTGGTATTGGGTGACCCCAACAAACGGACCTTACCCCCCCCCCCCCCAACGAAACGAAATATCGACCGGCTAATTTGCAAATTTTGGGACACAAAATAAAAAAGACCAAACTGGCAACGGGACGCATTTTGATCCTTGCAAATGCATAAAATGGTATGTTTGGCATTTAAGATTGCTCCCCCCAAAAAATTAGATTTAAAAAAAAAAAAAAAAAATATTGAATTAAAAAATATTGAGTTTAAAAAAAATGAATAAAAAAATAAATAAATAAAAAAATAGGAGCGGCCCGAAAATGACGAGCAGGCGGTCGAGGACAACCAAATGATTTTTTTTTGTTGGCCTTAGGAGCAGCCTGAAGATCCTCGCCGTTCACCGCCGCCAGGTGAAGAGAAGCTGCTGACCCGGTCCCTGAACTGGAACCTGAACCTGAGACTGATGAGGCTGAAGAAGATGCACCTGCTAGAAGGAGCGCAGAGCGGAACTGTGTGTCTTGTCTCTCGATGGCTGGTGTTACTCTTTCACGGATCTCGTCGAAGAGCTCTGGAGGCATCCTCAGATAGTTCTGAAAGGCGTTGACATCTTCGGTGGGGAGCTCTCAAGTGAGAAATGAAGAGTAGTGGCCCAACTGCTGCTGTCTTCCTTTAACCAGTTGCGCACACTCACATGGATCTCTTCCGCCTTCTTCCTGCCTGCTTCACTATGGCCTTCCCTCTTTACAACTGCTGCTAGCCTTCTTGTTGTTGATGCAAAGACTGAATGCACCCTGCAAACATGCAAACAATAATCTTCTTCATCTTGGGCATTTATGATGTTGTCTCGTCGAAATCTCAGGATACAATGATTGCTTTTGCTTGAGAGGCCTTATTTTTATACCGTAGGCACAAACGTGCTCCAAAGCTGCCCGGCGTCCACGTTTTATCCGTAGAAAGCCTTGACAGAACGTGAGAAACGTGAGGGACCCCATCAAAACGTGACGGGCCGAGAGGGAACTTTCTTAGCAGTCAGGTAAAATAACCACCATCACCATAATCATCCCGTTTTGTCCACGGTGGCCCGAAACGTGACTGCCATGACCGCCGAGCTTTGAGCTCTCAGCAGTTGTTTTTTCTTCTTTCTTCACACGTGATATAATCACGTGAATAACAATAAAAGTACACATCACGTTTTCATCAAAATGATTATCAAATTGCACCCAGAGATTACACGCAATGTTAACCATAAGTTAACTGTATGTGACGTAACGTCACGTGAACCAGATTTATGTATGGTTTCTAACTTTCTATACATGCATATACCGAATTAATGTTAACCGCTCTTATTACCTCCTCAAACTCATCAGGATACACTTCTAGCCCGCTGTATGGTACATTTATATATTTTATTCGAAATGGAAGAGCTTAGAAATTTACTGAGCTTGCTTAAAGTAAATATCTTATAGCTTAACAATTGGTAAGAGATTTACCAAAGTAATCTATCATCAATTTCAATCCCTATAAGTATCTTATACTTTTTACTTGTTCTATTATTTCATTATTAATATGCACCTTCAGACTTAATTTATTGTTACCTCGTGTGTTATTACTCAAAAGCATAACATTACTCTTATTAGTTTTGATACGTAATCTATTTGTACAATACCATTCATTTATAGTATATAAATCTTCTTGGAAGTTAGATGTAATGACATTAATATCCATACCAGAAACATTATAAGACAACATCATCAGCGTATATATTACATTTACTTAACCGCAAGCAATCAGTTATGTCATTTATAAAAAAAGAAAGAAAGAAGAAGGGGCCTAAACTACTCCCATGAGGAATTCCTATAGTAACGTCCTTTGTTTCGGATAGCTTACCATGACAATAAACTGCTTGTCTCCGACCAGAGAAAAAACTATAGAAAATCATTTAAAGTTCAGTATTTAAAATACCATACTTATTCAATTTTGACAACAAAAGTTCATGGTCAATACAATCAAAATATTTTAATATATCAAGAAAACATGTACCAACGTTTTCCTTTTCATTAAAGCCCCACTGTATTACGTGTAACTAGTCTTGCTCCCTCTATATAGAAAACAATGCCTAAGTGGTGCCCGTTGGTCCCCCATGATCCTCTTTTTCTTATGTTAAGAGTTGATGAGATAACCATTTGTCAATGACCTCGCTGGGTGGTCTAATCCCTCCTGGCCAAACTAGTGCAGACGGGCTTTAACAGATTCATACCAACCATCAATTCCCGGAACTGATTGATTTCAAGACGACTGTATATATACTTTCAGGGTGGTTCCATGATAGATCATGATTACAGAAAGTTTCTGAAATCTTTTTACCAAAATTTACAAAATAATCGTTCAATCTATTAATTAGATGGTAAAACGAAGGCTTTCCCCCCTACCAGTAATTTTGCTTAACTCCTTCCATAACTTCTTACTATCATTACTGTACCTCTCAGATACTGAGTCAAAATATTTCCTCTTCTCTTTTTGTATGAACTCGGTGCCTGAATTCCTGAGATCTCGATATTCAGTCAATAGATATGGAAATTTTAGTGTATCATATTTTCTCTTTAAGTAATCTCTTTTATAAATAAGTTTGATAATATTAGAATTCATCCATGGGCAGTGCCTAGTTTTAACCCTACATTCTTTTACAGGAGCAGGTTTTTTACAACAAATTAAAAAAGCCTGTTTCCCGTAAACCCATTTTTCTCGTATAGGGGAAGTATTATCAAATATTATGTCAGAATGTTTTAAATCATCAATAAACGCATTCTCATTAAAATTCTTATAGTCTTTAAAGCGTATCATGCACTGAAATGAAAGATTGGGGTGTAGAAAAGGGATAAGAATAACCTGAATGGACAGTCTGCAGAATTGGTTAAAAGATTGAAAGATCAGGGAGTCGTGCTGATGCTAGAGACAGAGGAATGTGGAAGAACCTTATCGCCACCGAATATAGATAATTAGGTTTATAGAGGGGGGATGGAGATAGAGAAAAGGAAATAAATAAAAAGAGAGAGAGTGAGAGAGGGAAAAGAGAGAGAACATGAGAGAGGTGAGAAAGCGGGAGAGAGAGAGAGAGATAAAGAAAGAGAGAGAGAGAGATCGGGGGAGGGAGAGAGAGAGAGAGAGAGAGAAAAGGAGGAAGAGAGAGAGAGAGAGAGAGAGAGCTGTGAAATTCTCCCATCTTCTTCAAAAGTGGTGTTTGTGAAAACAAAAAGTGAGAAGCTAGGTTGTAAGCAGGGGCGGATCCAGCCGGCGGCGAGGGAGGGGCCCAATTCGTTAGAAAATATTTAACGGCGACTCAGCCGACCGGCCGAATAATCAGAGAGAGAGAGAGAGAGAGGGGGGGGGGGTAGTGGTAGTGAGTACTTTTGTTTTCTTGGGTGGGGGGGGGGGGGGGCTCAACGTGGGAGGGGCCCCTGGATCCGCCCCTGAAGTTTGATGTTTTCAATGTCAGATCTTTTAAAAACAACATCCCACATTATTTCATATCTTGCCAGGTTATATTTTGGAGGAGAGACCTGGGCAGTAAAGGCCACGCGAAGAAGCTGATTTATGATTGGTGTAAGAGGAGTTACAAGAAAAGGAAGGAGGCGAAATGATGAGATATACGAAAGGAAATAAATGACAGTGATAAGGGAGACGGTTGGAGAAAGCAGACTGAGATGGTGTGGACACGTGAAAAGGAAATATCAATATGAACTGATTAAATGGGCAGCAGAGAGAAAAGAACAAAAAAGAAGGAGAAAGAGAAGAAGATCCAGGAAAAGCTGGATTGATCGTATGAAGGAAGACGGTAGAGAAATTGACTTTGAATGCCTATAGACAGGACGAGAAGGAGATGTGGTAACGAGGAGATCCGACCCCACAGCTGGAAGGGACCCACGGGATGGTGATGGTGATGGTGATGATATTGATCTCATATTCGTTGCGTGACTTTTTCAAGCTTGATATATTCAAAAGAAATATATATATAAATATATAATTATAATACATGATCTCACACCCACACTCACATCCCACGTAAAGAACACACATTCACCTGTGACATTATAACAGCGGATGACCGGTATTAGAATTATGGTTTAATTGCCGACTTAATTTGGCTTTCACGTGTATAGGCACACACTCATTTCTAGTATACACACACGATTACTATTATCAGGGAAAGATTTCTCCACACATGGGCAATACCAACACACAAACAAACGATCATCTTTCCATTGACATATCACAAGAATCAAAGGGAATAAGTTCAGAATACCATTCGGACATCATGCAAACACCACTCTCTTTCTTTCTCGATGTAATTTAACCAAGACATTGTAGAGACAAGCAAGGAAGCTAAAACATTGTTGATTGTACATTTTTGTGAAAGAATCTTTTATTTCAGATATACAATTTTTTTAATTAGAAATTAATTGCATATCATTTTGGTATTAAAAAAAAGATAATAGAAGTCTAAAAAATAACACGGCACGCACGGTCTGACGCCAAATCATTGGAAAATGTCCCTCTCATTAACAGTTAATGTTGTATCTGCATCTCTGATTCATTTCTTGTCCATATTATAGGCAGTCATCCTCTGCGAGATTTTGATACCCGGGTCATCTTTGATGCGACAAGGTGAATTGTTGATTGAAGCTTTGTTGAAAGAGCCCTTCTGAAACTTCGTTTACGTTCAAAGATCTGCGATGAATCTTTGGGTGAAGTGACATCAGCGGGACATAGTAAGGACAGGCATCTCGTAAAGATTTGTGCGATCGAGTTCTCTTCTTTGGCCGAGCTTTCTACGTGATATGTGTTCCATTGACAAAACATAAGTTCTGCCTCAGCCTTTCCAACTTGTCTCTTTCCCAGATCGTTCTTGTTTGCCACGACGACGATGGGCATTCCGGGGCCTCTCTTTCCCGCTATCTCGTCGCAGGTTGCAAGGGCTTCGTGGTAGGACAAGATGTCGTCAGTTGAATATACGACGACGAATATATCACCGTTGTTGAGGGCCAGTTGATGCATTGCAGGAAACTTAAAGCTGCCACTGGTATCAAGAATTTGAAGATAAACTTCTTTGCCATCGTAATCGATCGGCATTTCAAACATATCTTCAATGGTTGGGTTGTATTGCTCTGAGAAAGTCTGACTGACAAAGCGTCTGATGATTGCCGACTTGCCGACCTGAGCCGCTCCGAAGAAAACAAGCCTCTTTGCCATAACTGATGATGATTTAGATGGCATAGTGATATAGCTGAGTAATAATAAGTAAGTAAGGTTGAAATTATAGAGCACTGGCTATAGAATATAGGCTTCTTGAAATCTGAGAGCTCGTGCACCTTTCTATAAGAAATTAACCTCATCATCGCAATACCTCTCCTTTTATACAAGTCTGATCAAGATTGATGCGAAGACAATATTGTATGCTTCTATACTTAGAACAACCAATAGACAACCAGTGAAACCCTACTTTTATTATTTCGTCGGTGCATGGTTTATCATTAGAATGTAGGCTTAAGTTGACAACGGAATTAGGACTGCTACTTTATGAGGTGAAGTTTTGCGCATGCGTCCCGTCGGGATCATCTCCCTCGTCCACTGTCTGAATATTTGGTATCACTTGCTAATCTCCCTCAGCCTGGTCAGCAAAAACAAAGAAAACTCAAGTGACATCATGCTTAAGCAGTACACTGTGTATCTGAGTGGCATCCGAAGGATTGTCGCTCAATGTACGTAGCAGCCTAGCAGGGTTGGTCTGCTACGCCCCCCCCCCCATGCAGCAGTGGACCAGCGAAGCACAAACGCACAGAGTTTCAAAGGCAGAAACTATATCACGACTCGATTATCACAACACGACTTAGAACTAGACTAGGCGTAAATAGTCAAATCTGACTGAACGCCATAAAATATAACCAACAACAACAACTCTCCCTGGTACGTACACGTACGTGCAGCCCGCCCCAACTTGTTAGGGTCAGCGTATACTTGCGTAGAGGGCGTTTCACCGTGAAGCCTTTTTCAATGACAAATGACAAAAATCAGTGACAAATCTGCTGAAAGCCAATCAGAAGCAAGGTTTTCAGTAGCTTATAAAAAAAAACTGTCATTTGTCACTGATGACAAATTTTGTGAAATGCCCCCGGCCAGGACTGCCAACATTAATTTTGTAAATCCCCCTTTCGCGGGGTTTTCGCTGGAGACCGGCCCCCTAAATCCGGAACACTGCTCAATGTACCCCCTATCTATGATATCAAGATATTTCATAACCCCCTTTTAAAATCTAATCTCAGAAGTCCAAAGACACGGAGAGAGAGAGAGAGACGCCTCGTTTTTAATATTTTATAACCCACTTTTTAAATTTCTCAGGAATACAAAATCAAAGAGAGAAAGAAAAAAAAAACACGCCTTTTAAAGGAAACCTCCGAATATATTGTCAAATACACCCCCTTTTTTAAAAACAATTCTCGGGCCGGTCTTTAATTTTTGTCACGCGAAAAGTGGGGGGGGGGGGGGATCTGCAGCATGGTTTATTTGAACATACGTATACAGCCTCGATGGTGAGAATATTAGCATGCCCTATTCGGTAGGCTATTAATCAATTTGATCAATGCCCCTGTCCTATGTGTATTTTGCAGCTGGAATGGCCGGGGGGGGGGGGGGGGGGAGGCCGCCGGTGCGGGATTGAAGAGACAGCATGCCCCTGCTGGGTGTTAGCATGGAAATGCTCTTCTTTATAGCGATCTTCTCCAACGACGAACAGAATACTCAGCAGAGCAAAAATATACAAACAAGGCTCCGATAGTAATAAATTAAGAATATAACATGTATGACGATCGATGGTTCTACCTGACTGCTAATTAAGAAAGCGAGCATAATATGCTTGTAAAACAATTAACTAGGGACCGACGCACAGTGGGCCAGGGAGGAACCAAAGTGCGCCAAAATCCATTTTTGGTGATTTATTTTTTTCAATTTTTTTCTTGCCCAGTTGAAAGGTAATACATTGAGGAATACCTCAGTAAAATATTTAATTCCGGTATGCACAATAAGGGTATACATTTACTCCTTCAAACAGCAAAATCCTACATAATTATTTTATCCTACACAGTTTTAGTGCAAAAGTGACTTATTTGTGGGTTTTTTGGGGTCCGCGGCTGAATCATGAAGGATTCGCGGTCAGAACACTTGTTCTGACACCCACCGCGGATCAAAATAAGCACATTTCGGGGCAATGTTGCAAGGAAAACGGCTCTAACATAATAACGGGCAGAATCGGGCAGCCAAATCTGGTATTAACTTAAAGCTTAGACATCAGAGAAAATGTTGGTAATATAATTTAAGCGGAAATCCTTGGAAATCCAAACATTTCCTCTGGATTTATGAAAAATAAATCCCCCAAAATGAGTTTTGGCGCACTTTGGTTCCTCCCTGGCCCACTGTGCGACGGCCCCCCGACGGCCAGTGTCTTTCCGAGGCCGACTTGGCAATGAGGATTAAAGTGTGTGTGTGTGTGTGTGTGTAATCGGGTTTTTACTGAATCGTTGCGAAATTTTCGGCCCGATTTATAAATGTTAAAACACCCCCCTTGAAAAAATCCTGCGTACGCGCCTGTATATAAATATATAATTATAATACATCCCACACCCACACTCACATCCCACGTAAAAACCACACCTCCAAATGTGACATTATAAGAGCACGTGACCGGTATTAGAATTATGGTTTAATTGCCGACTTAATTTGGCTTTCACGTGTATAGGCACACACTCATTTCTAGTATACACACACGATTACTATTATCAGGGAAAGATTTCTCCACACATGGGCAATACCAACACACAAACAAACGATCATCTTTTCATTGACAATATCACAAGAATCTAAAGGGAATAAGTTCAGAATACCATTCGGACATCATGCAAACACCACTCTCTTTCTTTCTCGATGTAATTTAACCAAGACATTGTAGAGACAAGCAAGGAAGCTAAAACATTGTTGATTGTACATTTTTGTGAAAGAATCTTTTATTTCAGATATGTATACAATTCTTTTGATTAGAAATTATTTGCATATCATTGTAATATTAAAAAAAAGATAATAGAAGTCTAAAAAATAACACGGCACGCACGGTCTGACGCCAAATCATCGGAAAATGTCCCTCTCATTAACAGTTTATGTTGTATCTGCATCTCTGATTCATTTCTTGTCCATATTATAGGCAGTCATCCTCTGCGAGATTTTGATACCCGGGTCATCTTTGATGCGACAAGGTGAATTGTTGATTGAAGCTTTGTTGAAAGAGCCCTTCTGAAACTTCGTTTACGTTCAAAGATCTGCGATGAATCTTTGGGTGAAGTGACATCAGCGGGACATAGTAAGGACAGGCATCTCGTAAAGATTTGTGCGATCGAGTTCTCTTCTTTGGCCGAGCTTTCTACGTGATATGTGTTCCATTGACAAAACATAAGTTCTGCCTCAGCCTTTCCAACTTGTCTCTTTTCCAGATCGTTCTTGTTTGCCACGACGACGATGGGCATTCCGGGGCCTCTCTTTTCCGCTATCTCGTCGCAGGTTGCAAGGGCTTCGTGGTAGGACAAGATGTCGTCAGTTGAATATACGATGACGAATATATCACCGTTGTTGAGGGCCAGTTGATGCATTGCAGGAAACTTAAAGCTGCCACTGGTATCAAGAATTTGAAGATTAACTTCTTTGCCATCGTAATCGATCGGCATTTCAAACATATCTTCAATGGTTGGGTTGTATTGCTCTGAGAAAGTCTGACTGACAAAGCGTCTGATGATTGCCGACTTGCCGACCTGAGCCGCTCCGAAGAAAACAAGCCTCTTTGCCATAACTGATGATGATTTAGATGGCATAGTGATATAGCTGAGTAATAATAAGTAAGTAAGGTTGAAATTATAGAGCACTGGCTATAGAATATAGGCCTCTTGAAATCTGAGAGCTCGTGTGCACCTTTCTGTAAGAAATTAACCTCATCATCGCAATACCTCTCCTTTTATACAAGTCTGATCAAGATTGATGCGAAGACAATATTGTATGCTTCTATACTTAGAACAACCAATAGACAACCAGTGAAACCCTACTTTTATTATTTCGTCGGTGCATGGTTTATCATTAGAATGTAGGCTTAAGTTGACAACGGAATTAGGACTGCTACTTTATGAGGTGAAGTTTTGCGCATGCGTCCCGTCGGGATCATCTCCCTTGTCCACTGTCTGAATATTTGGTATCACTTGCTAATCTCCCTGGTTGGCCAAAACAAAGAAAACTCAAGTGACATCATGCTTAAGCAGTACACTGTGGCATCCGAAGGATTGTCGCTCAATGTACGTATAGCAGCCTAGCAGGATTGGTCTGCTACGCCCCCCCCCCCCCCCCCCCCATTATGCAGCAGTGGACCAGACGCACAGAGTTTCAAAGGCAGGAACTATATCACGACTCGATTATCACAACACGACTTAGAACTAGACTAGGCGTAAATAGTCAAATCTGACTGAACGCCATAAAATATAACCGACAACAACAACTCTCCCTGGTAGGTACATGTACGTGCAGCCCGCCCCAACTTATTAGGGTACGCGTATACTTGCGTAGAGGGCGTTTCACCGTGAAGCCTTTTTTCAATGACAAATGACAAAAATCAGTGACAAATCTGCTGATAGCCAATCAGAAGCAAGGTTTTCAGTAGCTTATAAAAAAAACTGTCATTTGTCACTGATGACAGGTTTGTGAAATGCCCCCGGCCAGGACTGCCAACATTAATTTTGTGAATCCCCCTTTCGCGGGGTTTTCGCTGGAGACCCCCCTAAATCCGGAACACTGCTCAATGTACCCCCTATATAAAGATATTTCATAACCCCCTTTTAAAATCTAATCTCAGAAGTCCAAATAGACGGAGAGAGAGAGAGAGAGAGAGACGCCTCGTTTTTAATATTTTATAACCCACTTTTTAAATTTCTCAGGAATACAAAATCAAAGAGAGAAAGAAAAAAAACACGCCTTTTAAAGGAAACCTCCGGATATAAAGTCAAATACACTCCCTTTTTTAAAAACAATTCTCGGGTCGGTCTTTAATTTTTGTCACGCGAAAAGTGGGGGGGGGGGGGATCTGCAGCATGGTTTGTTTGAACATACGTATACAGCCTCGATGGTGAGAATATTATTATGCCCTATTCGGTAGGCTATTAATCAATTTGATCAATGCCCCTGTCCTATGTGTATTTTGCAGCTGGAATGGCCGGGGGGGGGGGGGGGGGAGGGCGCCGGTGCGGGATTGAAGAGACAGCATGCCCCTGCTGGGTGTTAGCATGGAAATGCTCTTCTTTATAGCGATCTTCTCCAACGACGAACAGATTACTCAGCAGAGCAAAAATATACAAACAAGGCTCCGATAGTAATAAATTAAGAATATAACATGTATGACGATCGATGGCTCTACCTGACTGCTAATTAAGAAAGCGAGCACAATATGCTTGTAAAACAATTAACCAGGGACCGACGCACAGTGGGCCAGGGAGGAACCAAAGTGCGCCAAAATCCATTTTTGGTGATTTATTTTTTTCAATTTTTTTTCTTGCCCAGTTTAAAGGTAATACATTGAGGAATACCTCAGTAAAATATTTAATTCCGGTATGCACAATAAGGGTATACATTTACTCCTTCAAACAGCAAAATCTGACATATTCACAGTTTTAGTGCAAAGGTGACTTATTTGTGGGATTTTGGGGGTCCGCGGCTGAATCATGAAGGATTCGCGGTCATAACACTTGTTCTGACACCCACTGAGGATCAAAATAAGCACTTTTAGGGGCAATGTTGCAAGGAAAACGGCTCTAACATAAAAACGGGCCAAATCGGGCAGCCAAATCTGGTATCAACTTAAAGCTTAGACATCAGAGAAAATGTTGGTAATACAATTTGAGCGGAAATCCCTGGAAAAAAAACATTTCCTCTGGATTTATGAAAATTAAATCCCCCATGAGTTTTGGCGCACTTTGGTTCCTCCCTGGCCCACTGTGCGACGGCCCCCCGACGGCCAATGTCTTTCCGAGGCCGACTTGGCAATGAGGATTAAAGTGTGTGTGTGTGTGTGTGTGTGTGTGTAATCGGGTTTTTACTGAGTCGTTGCGAAATTTTCGGCCCGATTTATAAATGTTAAAACACCCCCCTTGAAAAAATCCTGCGTACGCGCCTGTATATAAATATATAATTATAATACATCCCACACCCACACTCACATCCCACGTAAAGACCACACATTCACCTGTGACATTATAAGAGCACGTGACCGGTATTAGAATTATGGTTTAATTGCCGACTTAATTTGGCTTTCACGTGTATAGGCACACACTCATTTTTAGTATACACACACGATTACTATTATCAGGGAAAGATTTCTCCACACATGGGCAATACCAACACACAAACAAACGATCATCTTTTCATTGACAATATCACAAGAATCTAAAGGGAATAAGTTCAGAATACCATTCGGACATCATGCAAACACCACTCTCTTTCTTTCTCGATGTAATTTAACCAAGACATTGTAGAGACAAGCAAGGAAGCTAAAACATTGTTGATTGTACATTTTTGTGAAAGAATCTTTTATTTCAGATATGTATACAATTCTTTTGATTAGAAATTATTTGCATATCATTGTAATATTAAAAAAAAGATAATAGAAGTCTAAAAAATAACACGGCACGCACGGTCTGACGCCAAATCATCGGAAAATGTCCCTCTCATTAACAGTTTATGTTGTATCTGCATCTCTGATTCATTTCTTGTCCATATTATAGGCAGTCATCCTCTGCGAGATTTTGATACCCGGGTCATCTTTGATGCGACAAGGTGAATTGTTGATTGAAGCTTTGTTGAAAGAGCCCTTCTGAAACTTCGTTTACGTTCAAAGATCTGCGATGAATCTTTGGGTGAAGTGACATCAGCGGGACATAGTAAGGACAGGCATCTCGTAAAGATTTGTGCGATCGAGTTCTCTTCTTTGGCCGAGCTTTCTACGTGATATGTGTTCCATTGACAAAACATAAGTTCTGCCTCAGCCTTTCCAACTTGTCTCTTTTCCAGATCGTTCTTGTTTGCCACGACGACGATGGGCATTCCGGGGCCTCTCTTTTCCGCTATCTCGTCGCAGGTTGCAAGGGCTTCGTGGTAGGACAAGATGTCGTCAGTTGAATATACGATGACGAATATATCACCGTTGTTGAGGGCCAGTTGATGCATTGCAGGAAACTTAAAGCTGCCACTGGTATCAAGAATTTGAAGATTAACTTCTTTGCCATCGTAATCGATCGGCATTTCAAACATATCTTCAATGGTTGGGTTGTATTGCTCTGAGAAAGTCTGACTGACAAAGCGTCTGATGATTGCCGACTTGCCGACCTGAGCCGCTCCGAAGAAAACAAGCCTCTTTGCCATAACTGATGATGATTTAGATGGCATAGTGATATAGCTGAGTAATAATAAGTAAGTAAGGTTGAAATTATAGAGCACTGGCTATAGAATATAGGCCTCTTGAAATCTGAGAGCTCGTGCACCTTTCTGTAAGAAATTAACCTCATCATCGCAATACCTCTCCTTTTATACAAGTCTGATCAAGATTGATGCGAAGACAATATTGTATGCTTCTATACTTAGAACAACCAATAGACAACCAGTGAAACCCTACTTTTATTATTTCGTCGGTGCATGGTTTATCATTAGAATGTAGGCTTAAGTGAATTAGGACTGCTACTTTATGAGGTGAAGTTTTGCGCATGCGTCCCGTCGGGACCATCTCCTCGTCCACTGTCTGAATATTTGGTATCACTTGCTAATCTCCCTGGTCAGCCAAAACAAAGAAAACTCAAGTGAAATCATGCTTAAGCAGTACACTGTGTATCTATGTGGCATCCGAATGATTGCCGCTCAATGTACGTAGCAGCCTAGCAGGGTTGGTCTGCTACGCTCCCCATGCAGCAGTGGACCAGCGAAGCACAAACGCACAGAGTTTCAAAGGCAGGAACTATAATATCACGACTCGATTATCACAACACGACTTAGAACTAGACTATAGGCGTTAATAGTCAAATCTGACTGAACGCCATAAAATATAACCAACAACATTAACTCTCCCTGGTACGTACTCGTACGTACAGCCCGCCCCAATTTTTTCAGGGTACGCGTATACTTGCGTACGCTCAGGAGGGCGTTTCACCGTGAAGCCTTTTTTCAATGACAAATGACAAAAATCAGTGACAAATCTGCTGATAGCCAATCAGAAGCAAGGTTTTCAGTAGCTTATAAAAAAAAAACTGTCATTTGTCACTGATGACAAGTTTTGTGAAATGCCCCCGGCCAGGACTGCCAACATTAATTTTGTGAATCCCCCTTTCGCGGGGTTTTCGCTGGTTTTTCCCTGCATTGCATGGAGACCCCCCTAAATCCGAAACACTGCTCAATGTACCCCCTATCTATGATATCAAGATATTTTATAACCCCCTTTCAAAATCTAATCTCAGAAGTCCAAAGAGAGAGAGAGAGAGAGATAGAGAGAGAGAGACGCCTCCTTTTTAATATTTTATAACCCACTTTTTAAATTTCTCAGGAATATAAAATCAAAGAGAGAAAGAAAAAAAAAACACGCTTTTTAAAGGAAATCTCCGGATATAAAGTCAAATACACCCCCCTTTGCAGGCACAGGTGATGTCAGGCGCGTACGCAGGTAGGAGGGGGGGGGGGGGGGTTGGGGTTATCCCCCTTAAGTTTTTTTTGTATGTGTGTATTATGTGTATATTTTTGAACACCCCCCCCCCCTTTTGTGGATTTATTTTTTTTCCAAAAAAAAAAGATTATGCCAATGGCTGACCTAAAAAAATAGTGACCTTACCCCCCCCCCCCCCCCCTAAGGAGCAAAATGTCAAATTTTCAAATTTCGAGACCAAAAACAAAAGTGTCCTCTTACCCCACCCCCACCCTCTTATTCAGCGGCGGGCTGAGTCGTTGCGAAATTTTTGGCCCGATTTAAAAATGTTAACCCCCCCCCCCCCCCCCCTTGAAAAAATCCTGCGTACGCCACTGGTAGTTGCAACATACATAATTATGCAGGGCCCGCGGGAAGAGCAGTTTCATAACTGAAGTGGCTTTACCCTGGGTAAATAAAACGTCATTATTATGATGATGATGATAATAATAATAATAATTAGAAGAAGAAGATGAAGAATGATATATAATGATAACAATGATAGAATATGGTATACGGAAGATTAATTTCTATACAATTATGAGGCATGACCATGGGTCATGTTTATGCTAGCTATAATTATGCTCCTTTGTGTGGGTAAGAATATTGACCTGCACTGTCAGTATCACTGCACCGATGATCTCTCTATCAAACCCCTTATCGAACAAAATCTCCTTGCAGTCCGTTCTATTCCCCTAAAAGAGAAGAAGAAGAAGGAAAACAAATCCTAAAATTTGCCCCCCCCCCCCCCCTCTTTATATCTCTCCGGGCATGTAAATCCTGCGACCAGAGATGGCGCCAGAGAGGGAGCTTTGAAAGCTTGCCGTTTCCAGGCAATCCATTGAGAACTATTGTAATAAGTTGCTGCTCAGCGCTTTATCGAACTCCGCGCCGCACCGCGCCCTTGGCTGCCGGGGCTGCCGACCGCACCTGTACCTAGTACCACACTACTCCGCTAGCTAGCTGGAATTGGAACAGTTCGAAAGAGACGAGAGGGCAATGAACAAGCTGGATCCCCAACCTTTATAGATCCGTCGAGATAAACACAAAAGATGTGGTAAGAACATGGCAATTAAAAGAAGATGAATGCGTACAAAGTGTAGGTCTAGGACTAGGGTCTAGGTTAAGTTTGTTTTTGTGAATGAGAATGGTTGGATTTGTTTTGATTTGTGCGGGGTTACAAGTGATGAAGTACGTATGCGGGGTCATATAACCGTCTCCTTCACAACAAACTTAACCTGGAATGTAGAATGATAAGTTGTAAGTGTAACGTTAGTTTCAGATAACACTGTTGCTCCAAAAAATAAATGTGACATTTTCATAGCTACCAAGTATCACGCATTAGGCGTGACATCATGCATTTCGAGGGTCTGAAAATGCTCTTGCGCAAGACGCGCGCGCTAGATTTTGAAAAATGCTATACCTTATACGTGTGTTATACCCTCGCACGCGCGCTCGCGCGCCGAATCATGAAAATGTCACGCATTGCCGATCTTTGAACTTGGCGTCTCTGCATTTGTCGACCTCTCCCAGATTTTTTACCTAGTCCAGTCCTCACTACCCTCCGACATCCAAAGGACCACAAACATCGACACCTTCAAACTACAAGCAACCAACTTTTTCCGCAACCAAGACTCAAGCAATAAGAACTAAAGCACAGTGCGCACCCCCTCATCCTCCTCGCTTGGTTCCTAACGGAACGTTGAGGAGTATCCCAGAAGAAGAAGAAGAAGACGCTTACGTGTTGTGTGTCCTGGGGCCCGTTCCTAGAAACCGTCATAAGTCTAACTTCTTGACTATCCCATTGAAACGTGTGTTATATAATTAACACGCGTTTCAATGGGATAGTCAAGAAGTTAGACTTATGACGGTTTCTAGGAACAGGCCCCTGAAGGCTGAAGGTTGTGTAGAAATTACATTAGCAATTAGCAAATAATTTGGTGAGGAAAGTCACAAAGTGTAGCTGCAGCATGCAGAACTAATCGAAGGCTTGTTCAGATATGATGCAGTAAACCAATAAACATGTACTCTATATCTGTAGAAAGTTATTATAGTTTAATGTATTATCTTATACAGAATGTCTATTTATACAAGTTTAGGCTTTGTACTAAACACACAAACATGTATTATGTTAGATACATAGAATAGTATGTAGCTTAAGTTGTATGAAGGGGTGACCAAAGTTCGCGGACATTTTAGAACATATTGCAAAATGTGATATTCGATCTATGATTTCTCATATTCTACACAAATTTATTCATTTCAATTATTACCAAATGGATGGCAAAGTTTTTTTACTACAGATTGGTACAACTAAAAAATTTATTGTCGAAGGATTTCGTAGATATCGCGATCTAAAAATTTGATGACCGATCGTGTGTGCGCGCTGCATCTAAAAAAGTCATAAAAGTAACGAGACCTAACTTCACGCACGGGGTTTACAGTTGATTTATCAAAAAATGCGATCCATCAAAAATAAGGTAAAGAATTTTACATATTGAGCGCTGTACAGTAAGTTTACGTGCTTCCATTGACCGATCTGCTCCAGTTGCTTCAAATTTAAGTGAGAGAAGTCCTACTTAACTTACGCTCAACTTAAGTTTAATGGCAATACCAATACGTAATATTATGTCACACTGACATGTCAAGCTTTAAACAGGTGACACTCTTCACACATAACTGACGCACACATGGCATTGCAGTATTGCACACACATAAATTAGAAAAATCAACAAATATTTCTGAATAAATTTCCAGTTTGTACCTTAAATGTGACTTTAAAAAAGTTACAAAAGACATAAACTTTAGTGAAATACCTAACCTTTTAACGCTGCCGAAAAAATCGTACCAAATAGAGGGTCTGGCTGAAATATCATGATTTTGGTATCGGACCAAACAGAAAATTGCAGGGTTTCTCCTCGCACCAATATCTTATAGCTTTGAGCGAATGGCAGCCAGCGAAAGCCAATAAGAAGGGCCCTTGTAGTCGCCAATTTAGGAAAATGAGGCTGTACAGTAGATTTATCGGATGAACGTTATGCGCATGCAGTAAATGTAAGCTAAAGTTCTACGTGAGGGTTTCCATAAGTCTGCAGACATATAACAAATAATTAGGAAAGTGATAATATTCAATCCAATCCATGATTTCTCATATTCTACACAAATACATTTAAATCAACTAATACTAGATAATTCCATTGGTGATATCAGATTTTGGAAATATTTATATATTTTTAAGATATGGAAATATTTATATATTTTTAAGATATGGAAATATTTATATATTTTTAAGATATGAAACTGTCTACAAAATAAGGTCACACCACCATAAGTAAATAGAAACTGTGTGCAACCAAGATCCTGGGCTCTCACCTCTTTGTTATGAAATACTGAAATGTGAAGTGTAGTACACATTACGTCATGATAAAAAAGTGCAGCAGTTTTGCCACGTCATATATATATCTGAAGGAGGCTCAAGTAGGTAGATTCATATATTCATCCAGTTTTTGTTGTTGATTCCATGTTTATTTGCAGATCCAAAGTAGATATGACATGGAGTCTGAAACTTTGGAAGAAGAGATGGAAGCTGCCACAGTCGGTGACGGTGAGGAAGGCGTGAATGGGACTGCGATGGACCACCTCAAAACTTCTTCTATGCCTTCAAATGACTGTCTGCCAAGCTGTGAGAGTCAGACCAGGAACTCATCTCTCTTTCACCTTGTTCAAGATGGTTTCCAGCCAAAGAACAGCTATGAGCATAGCAAGAAACTAACAGAATTGGTTGATGGTACAAATAATTCATTCTTTTAGAATAAACTTAACGGTAGATAAACATTAATTAATATTGTATGTCAGCAGGTTTATTGTCAAAAGTGGTTAAGGAAATGAGAAAGAATTAGAATTGAAAAGAGAATCTATGAATTCATTTTATGTACATCCCCTGTATGTTTATAGAATCAAAATTTAACCTGACGTTGCATGGGTGAATGGTTATTTGAGTATGAAGAAATGAAAGGATAATATAAAAGCCCTGTATATATATGTGGTACCCATGTCAGACTCAAGTTCTGTTCCTTGCTTTAATACTCACTTACATGTATATGTGGGTGCATTGAGAAAGACTTTGTTGAACCTTAAAGGATTAAATTCATAAAGATAAACTAGAGTGGGGGTAAATTTATCTCACATCACTTAGCTTAGCAAAGAATAACTGAATGGTGTTGGTAGGAAATTGGCATTCGATGTAGTTATTACTTAATATAGTGATCTATAAAGGGATGGCATATTGACAAACCTTATTATTTTTAACTTGTTATGCTACAGAGTACAGTGTAGGCAATTTCTTATTACATATAAATGCTATCTAGAAGTCTGGAACTGCTATCTTGTCAGCGTGGATCAGAAAAACTATCTTTAAAATGTTTATAAATGTCTCACTTACAGTAACATACAACCCCAGGACCAAGCAGTTTATTTTCCTGGACACGAGAGGCATTACAACGTGGTATAAAGATGGGATTGGACATGCAGGTAGGTGCTAAAATCCTGTAGAGGTTCACTTGAATGGTGATATAACTTGAAAACTTGAAAATATGCAGATCGACCCTCCCCAACATGAATCGTCGTTATCTAGTTCCGTTTTTTGGTTCTGTTTTCATTTGTGTTTCATTTTTTTGAAAAGTAGTTTTTTTTAACAAAGTGAATGAGCTCATTTGTGTGTGTAGTAGTTTTCGAGTTTTCAGATTATAAGTACATGAAGACTTAGTTCTTTCTATAACACAGTGCGTCTTTGTACTTAAAACTTCCAAGTCTGCCTTTCTTGTTGTAATTGCCTTTTTTTTATTGGGGGGGGGGGGGGGTAATTAATCACGTTTATAAATGCTTTTAAGGACTTTAATTTTGCTACGAATGAATTGCTTCGAAAAGAAATTTGGGCGCAATTATGGGATATATCTCTGGTAAGGAAAAAGAAAGAAGAAAATATGTACGAGTGCAGAATGCTTTAGTTGTGCTCTGAATATCATAAAAAAGAACTCTGAATACAACAAAAAACGATATAGAACTTGAACATCGCTGACATAAAATGTAACTGTTACTACATGTATAAGGAGTTCCCAAAAACAAACATTTTTTGTTTTACACGGAAGAGAGAGAGAGAAGGAAAAGTATCTGTGATATTTTAGTTTTTTACTTAACTTACCTGTATACATTTATTTTCTAAAGATGACACCATGCATTCTAGCTCATACTTGACTATGTTATTTTTCTGTCCCTTCATTACGATCTACTTTAATCCCCATTATAGTCAATCGAAGTATGACGTTTCCAAAGTATCAAAACAAAGTTCTGAGGAACATCATCTATGCCAGGAAACACAATGTCTACTTCTGCCTTGCCAAAGACTTCTCCTTGAAGGTAAGTTACTCAATATTCTTCACTATCAGCTTTGAATGTAATTTTCCTTGGAGAAGTTTTAGTTATTGTAAAGAATCTTGTTGTTGTTGTTGTTGTTGACTCACACCCAGTAGATAAAGATATTGCATGCTCGATCTCTTCACCATTTTGCCTTGTAATGGTATCAATTATTATTAAGTATTTGGCGTCGCCTGTGCCTGGGAGGCGAAAAGCCAACCAAATCAATATAACCCTCTGGTATCAGTTTGTAAAAAAAAAATAGTGTTTTACGAGAAAATTAAGATTATTTTGTTTGGTCCGTTTTTTTTCTTCCCTTTTTTTTCCTTTTTTTTCCCTCTTTGAAATGTGCGCTGCGGCTTTATCGCCGGCAAATACCGTAACTGATTGGGGGTGTGCAGGTGGACCACTACACTGGGGTTTCCCCCTACTCTTATACAAATAGTGCAGTGGGTTCTTAACGTGCAAAGGTGGTGAATCTCCTCTACACGGGGCCTCCACTCAATGTCCTATCCGATATAACTTTTTTTGTTTTATTCCAGACATAATGTGCATCTCTAAAAATCGTTGTGAAAATGAATCCAGGTTGATCTTCTTCTCTACTGTCATAAAGTACAATTCACCATTGTGTGTACGAAAATACACATGATGGTTGATTGTACTTCAGAAGAAGCAACCGACATGTAGTCTGGTGGATTATTGAAGGGTACAGTGTACAGTGCACATGACAAACTTAGGCATTTTCATGAATAAAAACTTGCATGTACCGGTAGACATCGTTTTGTCATCGTTTTGCTCTTAGGCGCCACGGATTTATTCAACTGGCATTCGGAATGCATGTAGAATGCCCTATTCAGAATCTATTGTTCTGTTAATCCGCATTCCAGAATGTACCTAGAATGTACCTAGAATGCGGTACTTAACGACTTAATTGGCGCATTCTGGAATGCTCCATGAATAGGCCATCCAAACAAAGGCGAGATCGATCGACAGCGACTACCTTCTTATTGCGTGCCGGTGTCATAGGCGATTTGTTCCGTGCAGGCGATCGGTTCCTCCGGAACCGATCGCCTGGATATGTACCCGCCGATTTGTTCCGGATTCGTAGATTCGTTCCGCTAGTCACAGGCGATCGGTTCCGGCCAGGCGATTCATTCCGTGGAACCAATCGGCGGGATATTTAGCCGCCGATCCGTTCCGAATCTCATCGGAGAGCGTGCGTGCTCACGTATTATTGAATACACGTCATGGTACACCCCTAAAGCAAAATGAACTATTCTGGTCGGCCTTTGCAACCAATCAAACTTCTCCAAATTAGCTACACCAACGATTGCCAATTTGAGAACTTTGTAAAGAAATGCAGATTCCCGTTGTTCAAATATGTTGATAATTGCGGCCAATGATTGACCACAAACAGTAACTATAGACAGCGCCGTCGCGAAGCGACGGGGACTGGGTGGTCTAGCAAAATGGGCAGTTGTTGCCATAGGCTTATAGTTTGCCTGTAAAAGCAGATGTCGGGGTGTTTTCTAATCAGGCCTTCTAATTTGGTTTGAATGCTGCTTTATATGATATCGTGTTACGTCAACCACCTATTACCGGGCTTCATCACAGAATCTAATTATGCATGTGGGCTGCATGCATGATGTACATGTAGTTTAAATGAAAGAGATGCGGGGTGGGGTGGGGGGGGGGGGGGGGGTCAACAAAAAAAAGAAATGAGTGGTCGAGCTGATAATTAAGAAGGACCAATAAAAACAAAAGAAGAAAAGAAGAGAAAGAAAATTCCTCAAGTAAAGGGGAATATTTTGAATGAAAAGGGCACCTATCAGAATTTTAATAGGGGCAGTTATCAGATATTAAAAGGGGCATTTTGAAAAGGGGAGGGGCTCATATAAAAAAGAAAAAAGGGGCACTTGTCAAAGGCAAAGGGGTCACAATAAAAGAGGCACTTATCAGAGGTTAAAGCGGCATTTAAGACAAAGAGAAGAGAAAAATTGCACTTATTAAAAAGGAAAAGGGGCACGAGTCAGTATAAAAAAAGGGCAAAAATATCAGAGGTGAAATTCTTGCACCTGAAAAGAGGTAGACTCTCTAGACTAGATCTACTCATCTGTTATCAGAGATGAAAAGAGAGGAAAAGGACACTTTGGGGGTACCTAAAAAAGTAGGGGGCAAAGACAAATTGCCACCCCCCCCCCCCCCCCCCCCACTGGGAGTGCCGTCTCTGGCATAATTTGTTTCATCCATCCATGTTTCATTCCAAAAGGAGCTAAATCCACAAAATCTAAAATTTAGTAAAAATCAGAAACAACTTTAGACCCTAGACCTAATTATTTTTCTTATCATAGATCTAGATCTAGACCTAGGTCTAGATCTATATTATTGGTCCAGGGCGACACCTTTAACATATAGATCTAGACCAATAACAACATGAAGGTGCATGGCTTAAGGGAAAGTGGATAGATCTAGGCCTAAATAAAAAGGTGAATTAGATCTAGATCTAGATCCTAGAGGTCTAAAGTCTAGATTCTACTCAGAATTACCCAAAGTGGATTTAGACTTCTAGCTCCTTTTGGAATGAAACCAATTTGGATTTAGCTCCTTTTGGAATGAAACATGATAGATCTATTGTAGACGTACTCCATCTAAATTTGTTCATAATTCCTGCTGAAATTTTCGAATGTGTTTCTACTAGGTCTAGACTAGACTAGGGTCTAGTGCATTTTGTCCCCAAGAAGGAAATCATTATTTTAAGACAGATAGACTCTAGGTCTAGATCTAGATCTAGATCTAGGTCTAACTCAATTTTTAACAAAATATTGATTTAGCTTCTTTTGGAATCAAGCTCTTCATTTGTAAATCACTGGTATCGAATAAGAAATAAACCACGTTTTGAATGTTATTTGGGTCAACTCCCCCCCCCCCCCAATCAGTACGCCACGCAGTGACTTAGGCCTAGAATCTAGCTTGGCCTAGATCTAGTTAGGGTTTAGTCAGTAGGTTATTTATTTATTTATTTTTCGTACCGCGCGCGGGTAATTCCGTACGAGGTTATAAACCTTATTATTAAGTAATATTTCAAAAAAAATAATATTGGTTTTCATTGCAACAATAAATACAAAAGTATCAAGATAAAGCTAAAATTTATTTTTACCATGTTTATTCGACACAAGTAATAAAAATATACGCGATTATATAAGCAGAAACGTTCGGCCAATGTCGGATAAGAACGGCGGCTTTCGAACGTATCTGTGAACGAGTCGATCCAGTAGATTCGTTCCGAGGAACAAATCGGCGCGCCGATTTGTTCCGCGGAACCTGGAACAAATCGCCTACCACACCGGAAGAGTTTCGATATAGAATGCACCATAAGAATTGATAGAAATCAACAGATATTGAATTGGTTTTGCTTCTGTCTCTCCCGAGATCGGTCGCTCTTTGCATTTCTCGAGCGCAGGTGATAATGGACCTTACTTTGATTTCTTTCCGACGGCTTAATTTTTGTCATAAACTCCGGTAACATCAGCGATATTTAATTGTTTTCGGTTCTAGCTCTCTTTCTCTCACTATTTATTTATCAAGCGTCGGTGATATTGTAATTGATTTTCTTTCTTTTCTTCAGCTTATTAAAGATGGTGAAAAGAGTAGAAGAAAGATTGAGAAAGAATGAAGACAGATTTATTATGACATTCCCGCCAGGCCGCCACAAATATGTCCTGAGTCGGCGCTCTCAGAACAAAGGCGCGTAACAGTGTCAAATATACGCGGTGTTTTGAAACGTTGGTGTTGATTGACACGATGCCTCATTAAAGATGGTAAAAAGAGTAGAAGAAAGATTGAGAAAAAATGAAGAAAATATTTTGCATGAAAATGCGGATGAACCTGAATGATCAAAATGAGAGGAAGAAAGAGGATGCAAGAGATGGTGGGTGTTGAAAGATCGGAGGACTAATGAAATGATACATTTAGATAAAAAGCGAGAGTGGATATTTGTGGTGATTACCATCTTATTTTAAAACTTTTTGGGGGGCAGGGATGGGGGGTCCGTCTTTTTTTTTTGGCCAGGGAGGAAGCAGTCTGGCCCCGTTGCCCCCCCCCCCCTCCATGAGTCTGCGCATGAAGGAAAGCACATGCTTTAATGTAAACCTATGAAGTATGTTGTTTCATATAATCTTATTCCTAAACCGAGACAGACATAATTTTCTTTGTGGTCTGTACTTATGTTGCGTATCATTTTTTTTAATTTGTTACATCACTTACCTCATCTACCCTCTCTATTTTTTAAATTCCTTCTCTTATATATAATGATTTGTGTGTGTGTGTGTGTGTGTGTTTTTTCTTCAATTATAAATAAAATATGACTTACGGAATTTCATAAAAATTGTAGAGGGTGTGCTATTTATAAATAAAATAATGACAGATTTATTATGACATTCCCGCCACTACTATGTCGGCGCTCTCAGAATAAAGGCGCGTAACAATGTACTTTTTTTAAACTTTGGTGTTGATTGACATGACCCCTCATTTTAGATAAGAAGGAGACAGTGTTCATTCGAGATCTGGATTTATTATTATTATCGAGAGAGAGAGAGATTACAGGTGTAAATTGGCTGTATGCCTATAACAATTCTAAAATGTTGGATTATTTTGTAATACACAAATGTTTTTGTTCATCGGAAATAATTGCTCCTCACCATTGACCACGGTTGCAACAACGACATTCAAATAATGACAGATTTATTATGACATTCCCTCCACATGTCGGCACTTTCAGAACAGAGGCGTAACAATCGTAAATATCGCGGTCTGTTGGAACTTGTGTGTTGATTACATTTCCAAGATACAGTCATCAATCACTATGAACATGACCGACAAAGAGAGCGGACAAAATATACAGTTTTTCAGGTAGACAAAGGAACATCCCTTCACTGCTATTATGTAAAAAGGTGAATATGCATGTGACACCTGTTCTACACATTTTTACACAATAGCAGTGAAGG